TGAATTTTGATCCATTACTTTCATGGCAATTCACGCTCTTAAATATAGATTGAGGAGCCACATTAAAAGTATTGTATATTCTTGAATATCAACAGTACTGGATTCAGATTTTTAGTAGGCACTAAACACAATTACTACTAAATGATACAAAATTTTCAAAAATATTCATTAAATACTTTCCTTGTTCCAGGTGGGTCCTCAATTCAAATGTTCTGATTGAGGACCCAATTTTACATTGATATAACTTTGGATATATCTTACTACAAATTTCAGGATTTATCCTACAAAATTATTTTCGCACCTACTAAATCTATACAAATAAATAAAATTGGAGTGTCTGTTTGTAATATTAAAATAACCGCTTTTTACTAAATGCATATGTACGAGTATGTTTACACACACACAGTTTACACAAAATATCACTTTTTACAATTTTTGTCTGTCTGTCTGTTTGTTCCGGGTAATCTCTGGAACGGCTGGACCGATTCCGACGGGACTTTCACTGGCAGATAGCTGATGTCATAAGGAGTAACTTAGGCTACTTTTTTTAGACTAGCTTCGCCCCGCGGCGTTGCCCGCGGTTATAACAACAAACGCGGGTAACACCGCGGGTCTCAGCTAGTAAGTAATAAGTTTAAAATCTGAAATGGCTCCACAATCCATACGGACACGATTCATCTGTATGTAAATGACTGGCGCGAGCTTATAGCTGGGATATATTATATCCCTTGGTGCCTAGACGATGGCGCAAGCGTCATGAATTCTTTAGTCAACAATGACAATAGAATAAAATCTATACAAATAAATAAAATTGGAGTGTCTGTTTGTAATATTATAATAACCGCTTTTTACTAAATGCATATGTATGTTTACACGGTACATATGCCAAAATATCATTTTTTTCAGTTTTTGTCTGTCTGTCTGTTTGTTCCGGGTAATCTCTGGAACGGCTGGACCGATTTCGACGGGACTTTCACTGGCAGATAGCTGATGTCATAAGGAGTAACTTAGGCTACTTTTTTTAGACTAGCTTCGCCCCGCGGCGTTGTCCGCGGTTATAACAACAAACGCGGGTAACACCGCGGGTCTCAGCTAGTATAAAATAAAGACATACCTTATAGAACAATCAGTGTCCTCTGAGTTTCTAGCATGGTCTTCTCCATAAGGTCTACATAAGGTTTATCAGCAGTCTGGTTACCATAGTACATGCTCTGGCTAATTAGAGATCAGACGGCCGTGTGTGAGATTATTATTATTGTTTTGAAGTTCTCGTTGGGTATATAAAGGTCCCGACCCGTCATATATTTTGTAATATCGTTAGGTTAGCATGCGATTACAGGTGGTTAATAAAACGAATACTAGGTATAATTTTATGTGTATATTTATGTGCTTAATCATAATTGTCACAAATAATCTTCATACATTTTAATTGTGTTGGTTGATTTATTGACAAAATTAATCTTAAAAACTATAATAGAATTAATTTCTACAGGTACATACTTAATTGCGTATAGTTATACCAGATCATGTATTACTTGTATTCTATCTTTATAATAATATTTAGTGTTTTCAACTCGCTAAATAAAAAAATAAATAAAAAATCAGGTACTATATGATTTTTTTATTTATAGATATATTTTTAAATTGTGGAGAAATTGTCTATAATGTGTGTGCAAATATACTTAGGTGCTGCAATAAAACAAATACTTACATTCTATAATCTTTAAGTGACTATATTTCCACGAATGCAATTATGCTATAAATAATATCTATATTTACAGTCAAATTAATTTTAAAAGGTTTATTTTGAACGAAGAGCTAGTCGCAGAACGTTACATCGCTCGATGTGAACGAAACATAACACAATTCTAATTTAAATTAAACAGTTTTTAGGGTTCCGTACCCAAAGGTTAAAATGGGACCCTATTTGTCCGTCTATCTGTCCGTCAGTCACCAGGCTTTATCTCACGAACCGTGATAGTTAGACAGTTGAAATTTTCACAGTAGATGTATTTCTGTTGCCTCTATGACAACAAATACTAAAAACAGAATAATATAAATATAATAAATATTTAAGTGGGGGCCCATCTAACAGATATGTTTTTTTCTTGTCGTTTTTATAGATAATGGTACGGAACCCTTCGTACGCGAATCCGACTCGCACTTGGCTGGTTTTTTATTAAATAAATAATACTGAGTTGAGGGAATGTAATGCGACATATTTCTACAAGTAATTAAAACTATGGCGTGATAATTTATTTCTGCGAGATCTAAAAGTTTCGTTCTATCATTTGTTTTTGGAACGAAGTTCGTTATCGCGTGTTACACGCTCTGAGCGGATGTGAGCGATCAAAAAATGTGTAACAAGACTTTTTTCGACACTTCATACCGACCGGGGGTCCATAGACACCCCCCCCCCCCCCTCTTTAATTTTAGTGTTATTACAATTTAATTGTTACGGAGGTAAAAGTTAATCGGTTCATATTACAAATCGGAGGAAGGGACTTGCTAAACTAGAGATCGTCTTTGGTACAATTAAATGGTTTATCCATACGTTTGTTTTAATTTGATTTTACACTTTTCGTATAATTAAACGGAACTGATTTGATTTTTAATGATGATTACACATTTTTATAAATGATTTCATATTTATTTTTAAGAACAATTATAAAAAAAAAACTTTATTTTTTATTTTAACATGTTATTATGTACGTTATTAATGACATGGTCCAGAGCTGTAAAATTAAAAAATAAAAACGTTTACGGTTCGTATGTTTTGATAGAGATGTTTATTGTGAATGATCAGGGTGGGTATTTTATCAGACATACAGGTCGACGTGACACTGACTGTAGTTTAATAACGCTCGTACATTGGTTTTCGCCCAGAAACATAGCACATAATTCTTAAAAAGCAAACTAAATGAATAGCCACAAGTGTAACTATTTTGAAACGATTAACGATGTTTCGATCGTAAATTAATTTGTTATCCGAATCGATTATTCTTACTATATATTTGTAGACACCCGGCTCTACGCTATGACTCTCAAAATGCACCTTTTAAAATAATTTGAGTGTAAGCCAAGGTTATCCAGATAATTTTATAAAACACAAGTTGAGACAACGCAGTCTCGCGCACTATAGTTTTCAAACAGAGTCAAAACTACTTTGTTACAAAGTATAATACATTGTTTAGACAGCCTTATAACATTATAGCAAAATACACATTTGCTTTACAAAACAATCTTGAGATATCTCCTTTACATGCATAACAAGCCCTACGCACTAAAATCCTCTTGGTTGTTAGAAAATTGTTTGTTTCACAATTTAGAAAAAGTCAAAAATTCCCTCCAATAAGATTTTACAATATTAAAAATTACTCTACATTTTTTTTCTTATCAAGCTACCGTAAAAAGGATAGAATATTTGTATCAATCAACAATGATTTGAAAATACTACACAATGATGCTACTAATGTTTTTCGAAAACTCTCTAAACTAAATAAAAATCACTAAAAATTAGTTTAGCCCTTTTAGTCCTGTCCTGTCCTTTATTATTATTATATTACGTTTTCAGATTACGAAACGCTGTTTGACAGAACTAAAGAAACAAACAACAGAATTACCGCCAATACGCGTATTAGCAAATAGTGATATTTAGAAAAATAAAAACAGCTTGCAACCCACCGTATCTTTGATTGCTATACAGTAAAATATCCTAAAATTAAATAAAAAATATGTAGGAATTCGCAAGACGGGACCTCATAAGAGCTTTTTTTTATTAATTACACTATTATTCCTTGTTGAGCATAACATATGTTGCAAGCTAATGGTGTTAAGCACTACATAAAATAGACTAAGTGACTTAGACATGAGATCTACCAATAGAACGGTTCAGTCTTTAAAAATGTGTAATTCTAACTTCTTAACCAAAAGAAGCTTACTTATACACTAGATGGCGCTACTAGCACGTGAGTCAAAGAGGGTGGGCAAGTCAAATAAATTATTATGTGATATGTCTAAAACTGCTTCCACGCAGTTTCAAAATGAGTAATACTGTTTCATTTATTTATTCGTTAAATAATCAATCGAAATTACACTATGGGGAAGTAGAACACTACAGTTTAATTAATTATTTCAATGACTACTCTAGTAGTGATACATTATGACTATTATACAAAAAAAAATTGAATGTTACAGTACAGGTGTAGTCAAATTGTAGAAGCATTGTGAAAAGCCGACAAATATATGAATACGCTTCAAAATATATAATATTTTGAATTTCCATGTCAAGTTAAATTATCGATTTCTTGTGTGCAGACATTTAATATGTCTCAAATATAGTAAAAACGAATAGCACTCTCACAAAACATCTGTACGATCAGTCATTTTTTAAATTCAATTTCTTAGTTGCAAAATAAGATTAATATCATAAAATCACGATTTTTCCGATTGTTAGCAATTTACATCTTATATCATCTATCGACGACAAGCCCAAACCATGAACACCTGTTCTGTATCAGCAGTTTTCATCCAAAAACTTAACTATAACATTGAATTTAAATGTAGAATCAGATGGTAGATCTTTTTATCTTCTGTAGTATTAGTTCAGCCGAAGAACGAAAAAACTCAGATTTAGAACATATAGAAAATAACTTCGCCTTTGAAGTTTAAATTCCAACTTCTATAACTTGGCATCTAACATGAAACTATTATAAAATTGCGGTCTATTTATTCTCTACAAACAGATTTTAAAAACTCTACCAGCATTATATTTATATATTTCGCTAATCTAAACATTCGCTTCATCTGTCCAAAAAATACACGATAAAAAAAAACTTTACCAAATTATAACTATCACAACATTTCATTGTTTAATTGGCAGACCTATACTTAGAATTCCGTTGCGGCTGGTCAATATTGGATCTATTAACTGCTGTGTACCTAGTCCCAGGAGTTGCAACATTAGCTTTATCTGTTTGGTCTTTCATAGGCTGCCCTGATTATCTTGAATGTTTCCGCAATTTTCTTGGCTTTTTGGTTGTAGCCACAGTTTTACTGATCTCGGTTAGATTGATTTTGGACTTTTTCCCTGAACTGTTGTGTCCCTGGTTATGCTCTGAAGAAGTTTGAGGTCTTATCCGTCCAAGAATCCCTACTCGTCTCACACCTATGGAGTTGGAATCTTGGCTTTGATTCCCGCTTTGGGTGTCGCCTGGATTAGAAGAACACAGTTGCGACTGGTCACTATTGGACCTGGACCTATTGTTTGGGTCGCTGTTCGCTGAGCCCTGCAAGCGGGTATCATAATAAGGGTATGATGGGCGTTTGCAACGGTATTTATTATACAGTCGCAACTTCTCACTAATGGACCTACTCTCTGAACCCTGACTGCTGTGTTCCTGGTTATGCTGTGTAGAAGTTTGATGCTTTATACGGCCGAGAATCTCTACTCGTCTCACACCTGGCGAGTTGCCACTTTGGCTTTGACTCTTTTGACCGTCGATATCAGAATGGCATGCGTACACGTTCTTCGGAGCGTTAGCTGAGCGATTGCCTTTATTGTTTCCTTGATTGCCTTGGCTGTAACCCTGGTTACCCCGGGTGCTTTGTCCGTAACCCTGATTGTAGCCACGGTTTTTCTGGTTTTGTGCGGATTGGTTTTGGACTTGACTATATGGTATATACTTACCGGGCCGAGGTCCAAATAATTGAGATCGATCTGCAACAAGGAAATATTTTTTTACGTCAAGTAAGAGTTACTGAGTACTGAGAGCTATCATCAGTGTTATTTTTTAGCATTTGTCCTATTTTTGTTTTACAAAACAAAAATAGGACAAGTACACTCCCCATTAGGCCAAAACCTCCTTTCTGAGGAGAGGCCTATGTCCAGCAGTGGACTATTAAAGGCTGTTGATGTGATGATGATGATGATGACTCCCCAATATAAGGATGTCCCCTCAGATAAAGTATTTCTAGGAAAAAAGTCGCTGATATCATTACTAACCAGAGCAATGTGTACTATTATCTAATAATATATTATCTAGTAATTTGTTTACAAAATGGCCGTAGATACCTCTTCATAAATAACCACTGCTTTGCACTGAACTGTATTGTTTTCTTTCTAGTTGTTAGATTTTTTTTTGTTTCATAATTTAGAAAAAGGCCAAAATACACCTCATAGATTTTATTTTTAATTTTACAAAATTGAGATTCTACAAAGCAATTCTTATTAACCTACCATAAAAAAGAGAATATTTGTATAATTTAGAACACTTTGGAAATCGAGATGTTAATGAAAAAAAAGTAATAATTGAGAAAGAAAGAGCTACCTATTATATTTTTCGAATAACCCACCTAACCCTCCATATCTTTAGATATTTGTTTGATAATTAAAAACTACTTATTAAAAAAAAACATACGAATTTGCAAGTCACAAACCCCATAAGAGGTTTTTGATGTGAAACGACGCGTCGCCACTGCGACTCTCACACAATTTTTAACCAAAGTGATTTTATACTCATTGTTTGTACAAAATAATTTCGATGTTTTACATCCAGGCCCCTCTTTCCATTGATCTATAGGCGCCGATTAATTCCTGCCAGATCACCAATCGATAAATTAATATTTATCACCGAAAATGACTGACTACAATACTTTCTTTGTCTATTCTAACAAAATAGTGCTCAGTCAAGTTTGTAGGGGCCCCATTATCCTAATATGCCTAGGGGCTCCAATAAATCCTTCCGCGCCGGCTTAGTTTGTTACTTTTTAATAACACTATTATTCCTATTGGGAATAAAATTTGCCAGCTATTAATAAATAAGCACTACATATAATAGACTAAAGGCTGCTGCATACGGGACGGCGTCAGGACTTGGATGGGCGGAGACAGAGTATTGTTAAGGAAATATGAACGAGTTTAAAGCATACGCACCGCGACTGTGACTCGAAACTAGCGTTGTTAGAATTGTGAACAAGGAAATATCGATTTTTCATTTCTCCAAGATTTTTTCGAATTGGCATTACATAATTATATACAGTGTCCCAAAAATCAAGGTCAAGTCGGTAATTTGTGAGTCCTGAAAGATATCCAAAAAAATCGCAAAAAACTGACACCCTGGGACGATCTTCAACTTTTGTGATTACAAACATTACTTTTATTCAATTTTTTTCTGTAACTATAAATGACCCTTCTATAAATCGTATCAAAACATGCCAGTAATCTTCGTGTGTCTTCGGATCTCCTCATCCCTGATTCGATCACGCAGATAAACTCCGCGATTTGCCCTCTCCGTTGCTCTTTGGGTGACTTTGAAACTTTTTATGAGGCCCATAGCGAGCGAGCACGTCTCTGTGCATTGATTCATCACTTGCAACACACACTGGTCAAAAACTTTGAAATACTGCGGTATTTAGGACGAGAAACTGTCACTCAGCTTCCCCAAAGCTGCCCAGCGAAGTTGGATCCGGCGATGGACCTCTTTTTCATAGTTGGACCTACTTGAATGGATAGTTTGTCCTAGGTATAGTCTCCAATTTTCACTGGAGTGGGTGTGCGACATGGACTTTTGACATCATTTTCGTCTTATCCAGGTTCAGTTTAAGATCCACTAGTTTAGAGACCCTACTAAGGCCATCGAGCATTGTGTTAAGATCTTCCATCGTTCCAACCATGAATACTATATACTACTATATCATCAGCAAATCAAAGGTAGGTGATATACTCACCTGATGTTGATGTCAAGTCCATTCTAGTCCAGAAGCTTGAAGTGGTGGAACAATTTCGGCGATATTACATTTCCCAGCCTCACTCCTCGCTACAGTTGGATAGGTTTCGAGCTCTGATACTGTAGACGGGCTGACATAGTAGCGTTCTCGTACAAACACTTCAACACTTCGATCTCACTATCGGTACGATAGTCGATTTGGCACCGCTGGAGAGAAGCTTAGCCCAAATTTCAATTGAATCAAAAGCTTTCTCATAGTCCACAAACGCCAAGCATTTTAAAAGCCAAGATATTTATATTCTTTGGACTTCTGTATAACATTTTTAAGAACTGCTCTTGGACATAACTCAGAAGAGAGATGGGTCTATAATTCTTCTGTTGAACGGGTTTCACCGTCCTTTTTGAAGAAAAGCACCACTACACATCTGAACCATGCCTCAGACGGCTTCTGAATATCTTCTGGCTTTTAGGATTTTTTTTGGAAAAAAGATATTTGTATTCACAGGGCTTGAAAGATCACAAGATGTCAAAAAGAAAAAATACTTGAGTTTAATTTAAATAGCACATGGCCAAGCTCTTTTGTATTTCTTTCTAACTGTCAGGACTTGGCCGGCTTGACGTTGATTTTGACAGCCTGTATTTAAATTTATTCTATATTACATTCCCAAGAATATACCAAAACTATTTTGCAATAAAATGAAGAAGTGCATGATAGAGGACCCCGAGTAATCAAGGAGAATGGTAGAACAAACTCAATACACTGACCCCAAAAAGAGAGTAAAATGATGGAGATGAATTGGCATTAACTACTATTGCTTTGGATGACGAAGAAGCTACAGCCGGCAAGAGGAAAAAAAGGGAATATAGAACACCAAGTACCAAAGCTCTACAAAGCAATTTTGGATTATGTGAGAATGATTTGCTTTACTGGAAAATAAGCTAAGCCCACATTAAGAAAAGAAGGACCCTATGAACAATTAGCAGTATGAATAAGGTAATAACAAACACTTTTTTTTTATTTATTTGAGACATTTATTTTATATCTAACATTTTAGTTCTTAGTGGTATCATACATAAAGAGGATATCCAAAATTACAGACCTAAGTTTCATGTCAAACGTGTATAAAGTATTCTCTTAATTAATATTGTACCGTATTGGTAAAACTCTTGAAGAAAATTAGCCAAAAGATAGATAGATAAATATTTTAGGACAAATAATGCAAAATTGTAAAGAATACAACAAAGTGTACTTCTTGGGTTTCATCATCTTTAACAAGGCATTTGATTGCTTAGAGCACGAATACATTTGGGTGGCACTGCATAGGTAGTGGCTACACGCAAAATATATAAGATTACTCAAAAATATCACTCCGAACAGCACTGCACAAGTCAAATTTGATGGTACGGGTGAAGAATACCCTCTCATAAACAGCAAGGCTGTTTAGTCTATATTATTGTCTACAGTCCATGATATTCCGGAATATAGATTGGAGCAATTACGGACTCCACATCAATGTTGAGAATTTAAATCACTTACGTTTTGCTGATGACCTTTTACAATTTTCGAAATGTCCAAACCACCTACAACCAATGGTGCAGCAACTCTCAGATGACAGTGCTAAAGCAGAACTGTTATTTCAAACTCCTGCCAATCGATTTTCATCGGATTTCATAGGGAGCAAATAGAATATATAATCGACAACATCTCTCTGGATATCACATGTACAACTGATACAATGCATAAAAAATATTTAGAAGGGTTTGCTAACACTTGGAAAATATACTTTTTATTTAGCGAAATTATGAAAAACGACGATTTACCCATTCAATATAAAACAAAGATATGCAATACGTGTATTTTTTTCTAGACAAAGTTAGATATCGACACATTTAATCAATTTTTCGTTGTCGAATATACGACAGGCAGCGGAACCACGGACAGTACGGGGCGGGCGCGGGTCGAGACGTGCTAAACACCGACGATATTTTTCCGTCCCTTGGGTGCCACAGCGCCATCCCGTCCCACCATCCCACCCGTGACGTATGCTATTTCGTATATATTTTGTGTGACACGATATTTCCAAAACTTATTATCCCGTTCCGAAAGGATGAAGAATAGTTTCATGTGCAACGACCTTAATTGACTCAGTTATGAGTCGTCATAACTTTCAACAACATAAATCTACCAATATAAAGATCCATTCTTGGAAAATTAGTGTACTTCCTATCAAATGTCTTAAAAAAGAGTGTTTTTAAAAACTAGATGGCGCTACTAGCACGTGAATCAAGTAATATGGACAAGTCAAGGAAATATTATTTAATCATAATAAATTATTATGTGATATGCATAAAACTGCCTTAAGCAGTTTCAAGATGAGTAATAGTATTCATACATTTATTTATTCGTAAAATAATCAATAAAAAATTACACTTAAGGGAAAAAGAACACTCTACATTTTAATTAATTCGATTATCTATTCTAGTAATGATACATTATGACTATTATAAATGTATATTTAAAAATATTCCAGTTGTAGTAAAATTTCGGGAGCATTACGGCAAGTAGACAAATAGTTGATTATGCTTCAATATACATCATATTACGAACCCTCATGGCAATTTCAACTATTGTTTTCTTTTGTGTGCAGACAACTGTATTAAATATTTCTAAAATATGGTAAAAACTAATAGCCCTCTTACACATTAGCACTATCAGTCATTTTTCGAATTTAATTTTTCAGTTGCAAAATGGAAAAAGCTACGAAATTTCGTAAACTACATCTTATACCATCTACCGCCGACGAGCCCAAAGATACCACTATAAATTTATTTCGGCCTTTAGTTGTTCTACAACCAGATTCTAAGAACTCTATACATCAGCATTATATATATCTATTATGCTATTTTAAACTGTCTTCATTCACTTCATTTGTCGATAAAATAAACAATTTAAAAAAACTGCAATTTTTATCATTATCCGATATTTCAGTAATGTCTATAAAACCCGCGACGATTGCCAGAACTGTAGTTAGAATACGGTTGCGGCTGATCACTATTGGACCCTGAACCCTGATTGCTGTGCCCCTGGTTATGCCCGGAAGAAGTTTGATGTCTTCTATCTCCGAGAACCCCTAGTCGCCTCTCACCTGAGGAGTTGTAACCTTGGCTTTGACTCCTGTTTTGGTGATCGCCTGGATTTGAAAAGGATCTGTACTCGTTGTTCGGGGCGTAAGATGAGCGATTTCCTTGATTGCCTTGGCTGTAACTCTGGTTACCCTGGACGTTTTGGCCGTAACCCTGATTGTAGCCACGGTTCTGGTTGTAACCTCGTCCGGCTTGATTTTGATTTTGGCCGTATGGTATATATCTACCGGGCCGAGGTCCGTATGATTGAGATCGATCTGCAACAAAGAAATGTTTTTAGTTCAAGCAATAGTTACTTGGTACAAGATTTACGTCATCATCATCAGCTGAACTGATGAACGAAGGCCTCCCCCAAGTTTTACGTAGTGATATTTATTTGTTTCAGTTCTAACCAATATAAGGCCCTAAAAGAATACTAGTATTGAAAGGTAGAGTCACTGCGACCAAAATAACATTTTTATATTCAGCAACTTTTCAAAACCTTCTGGTTGCTTGAAGCATAATGATTTAGAAGACTTTAGAGATTTCTCAAGACATCATTACGACATTATAGCTCTTATTCAAGTTTTCTTCACCCTTGGTAATACCGTACTATCTATAAACACATATCTAAGACTATATTCTGTACTGGTCATTGTATTGGAGTACCACAGGGATCTATACCTGGTCCTTTTCTGCTATAAATTTTTATAAACGATATGGTTTCTAAAAATTAAATTTAAGTTTGTTACTAGATGAAATCACTATGTAATGAAACTTAACTGTCATACGGTTACCACTTAAATTATAGACAGCCATCATTGATGCAAAACATTGCGTACTATACTCGTACACGTCACGTGACATAAGGCTTACTAGCAGCCGATATTACTAGTATTTTCGTTAACACCTCCAGCAGCAGTGGGTTCACGTCGGTAGTGTACTCGTCAGGATTCGAACCTAGGCTACCGACGTTTGAAGAATTTTCTTTTTCTTTTCTTTTTAAAGTCAATATTTTATGACTAAAAGCTACTATTAACCGATTCGCTATTATAACTCGTAAGCGGTTTTCAAAATGTCAATTTACTCTAAAAGTCATTCATTCCAAAATCTCACATACCTATGTGGATTCTACACTACATAACACTTAGTGGCACATTAACGCATTAAACCGATACACCATCCGCCACAATACTCAAATGACACGGCTTACCCGGTACAGCTTTAAAGCAAGGACCAGTGTCACCACGAACAAATTAAGTGGTAAGGTTAAGATTATCTTCTTCACGTATTCTTAATACTATATGGGGGATAACTCGGATTTAAGCATATAAAACAGAAGAGATTTCAACCTTACGTGTAATATCCTATTAAAGCCCAAAATTCAGACAAGAGGACAATTATAAAAACTAACTGTCGACGATATACCGATGGCGATGAAGACATGTAACATGCATTGCGGTAATTAAAAGTTCAGGCACCTGAACACACTACAAATACAAAGGCACAGCTTCTCTGCTTTAAACCGTCCTTTGCCCAAAACTTCACACTAACACTAATGTAGTAATTAATATGAGTTAAAGTTCTAAATAACCTATGATAAAGTTCTCTTTCTCCAGCCTAAAAACCCATCTCCACATTACAAAGTTCTTGAAACGGCATCTTTCATTTCGACACTTGCATGAATATAAACGCAATGCTTTGTTTCGTCGTATTGCGACACTCGACTTAAAGGCAGGGACACGTAGCGAATCGCACGTCGAGTGTTTAATCGCTCGCTTCGTTCAAACGTATTAACCGAGATGGTGGTCTACTGGAAGAGACGTTTCAACCTTTTAAACAATGCTGTTTATTTTAAACAACTTTAAAACAAAGAAGCAGCTTTTTCAACTCTGTAGTTTTTTGTTTGTTACTGTTATTCAGAGGCGTGGAGCCCTAGAGTGCTAAACGCAACTGTATTCAATGTCATCTTCGAACAAACTTTACTCTTAATCTTTTCGGTAGAACAGACGCATTCAGACGCATGATGCAGACTTCATTTCGACTGCACGGATGGCGTAGTGGTTTCAGCGGTCGCCACGCCGCTTACGCTGAGTGCTGTGGGTCCGATCCCCACATAGACGACACTTTGTGTGGTCCACAAATTGTTGTTCGGAGTCTGGGTGTTCTTTGTGTCCGTTTCTTGTATGTTGTAAAGTCCCCCGCCACACATGATTTATTCCGCGGCGGAGCGTAATTCCCCGGAGTTGTAATTTTTTGTATTATTATTTTTTATCACAAACTACAAGACTTTCCTCTCCTTCCTCTATAGAACCTTAAGCATATCAGTTTTTAGCACTTTGGCATTTTTTAATGTGCAATAAGTGGTAATAAACAAGTAATTAGCAAGCTACCCAAGCTGGATTTTTAATACCGTTGCATAGTCGTATCTAGTATATACAATTATACATATATTCATTTCTTAAATATAAGTTCCTAGTATCGTCTTAGTTTAATAGCACTGTTTTTTACTCGACTCCTCGACTCCTTTAGGCGTGATTTTGACTGACTTTAAACGGTCACAATTCGTTCAAGCTTTGTAGGGTATATCGAGGACTGATGACAATACACTAATAAAAAATAAAAAATAATAATATTAAAAAAAAGCGTGGGGATGCTTTTTACTATTGATTAATTTTCTATTTTTTAGTTTCGCTTTCTATAAAAAGCGTGAAAACTATGATTGTGCCTCTACAAGCCATGTGTACCGAACAAACTTTGCAAAGCTCAATATAGCTAAGTTATAAGGCATACAGATTAAAAAAACCTCAAAACAGTAATGGAACTCTTGATTCTTTGCATACAATTGAAAAGGTAGGGATTAAATTATAATCACAAAGTAAATACAACGTTGCCTGATTTTATTACGTTAAAATATACGTTTATAAGTAAAAACGAATTGGTAAGAGTATAACTAGAAATCTGAGACAGATCTTTATTAATATTTCTGAAGTATTAGCCCTAATGAAGTTTCTAGGATATATAAGAATAAATTAAAAAAACATAACACGCTTTTTATAGAAAACCAAACTAAAAAATAGAAAATAAATTTTGATAAATTTGAAAAAAAAGCGTGGGGTGCTTTTTACTATTGACAACAGGCACCCAAATGTTTTTTTTTAATTAGTGTATTGTCATCGGTCCTCGATATATCTACAAAGTTTGAACGAATTCAGACCGTTTAAAATCAGTCAAAATCGCGTGATTTTGGAGTCGGTTACAAACAAACATACAAGTGAAGCTAATATAAAGCGTGTAAAAATGAAAGGTAGAAATTAAAGTCCTTTCTTTTCGCATACAAGAATTGACGTCAGTAACAAATCTACAGAATAAAATCTAGTCCCAGCAAAGTATATATAAATAACTTTATACCTATATAAATAGTGTAGAAAACAGTCTGCATCTGTTACTAGTGGTGGTTTAATAGGAGCGCGTGTTGAGTGCGTAACGACGAGTCCCCATTAGCTCATATTGTTGGCGCCCAACGTGGGGCGGCAAGATTTGCTCACAATGAATAGACAATTACTACTGCAATGTACAAATGCCTTTAAAGATTTCCTTCGTGTTTTAAATTTTCCTCTGGATATTTTTGAATGGTTGTATGTTTTGTTTAGATGAGCTTTGTACTGTTGTAGCACATTGTACTGTTGTAGCATATTCTCAGGCAAAACCAGTGCTGATTGACCTGATATTCTAGAAGTATCACAGCTTTCACTGCGCTTAAATCATGAAAGTTAATAAAAAGGTATATTTTTTGCTATGAGGAATAGTTAAAGATAGGTTTTGAAGTCGATAAAAAAAAACTTTGATAGTTACAAACTTTGCTTTTTCTTATACGGATTTTATATTTTTACTTTTATAAAACGCTTTTTTGAGTTGATGAAAACTACGTTAAAAGATCTCATTACATAGATGAATATATAAATAATTAGATACAGGATACTGATATGAAGAATGCACATTTATTACAGCTTAACCTCGGTCTTTTATGTAGGAGATTCCACCATGTCTTTTTTTTATATTATTTTTAAAGAGAATTCCCGCATTAGGAACATACCCTGCGTCGCGGGGGACTTTACAAAAATACATGAAACGGACACAAATAACACCCAGACTCAGAACAACAATTTGTGGATCACACAGTGTCGTCCCATGTGGGGTTTTAACCCACAACACTCGGCGTAGTAGGAAGCGGACTGCTTAAACCACTACGCCGTCCGTGCAGTCAAGTTAGGGTTAAGGAGTTCGAGCAGAGATCTAAGTACTGTGCCTTTTTCCCTTTGGACACATCTGGGCACTCATCGTTACTGGTGTCTATAAAGAACTCCAAAAAGTGATGTGTTTGGTTTCAAACCTAACCGAATATGAGAATACTTTGTCTAAACTAGAAACTAAGAGCGGTTTTAGTCCTTGTCGAATTAATAGAAGAATTTTATTAACTAACCAGAAAGTTTACTAGTATAAACAGATGTAGAACATTACATAATATTTGGAACTGTCTTAAAAGATCTTAAGAGTGGTATTTGACTTCCGAACAACATTTGCGGGTTCCACTTCTAATAAGATTAGCTGGAGGGGTTTGCACAGAATTCTAGTAATGTATAAAAAAACTTTAAAAAAGTATCATTGACTTAAATGTGTAATGCACCATGGCGAATTGTAACTGTATACTTCGTTCCTTAATTTACAATCCTTTCTTTAAATATGAATGAGACCAAAAGTTGCTGACAAACACTCCCAAAAAAAAAAAAAGCAATCAATTGGTTCATAAATAACTAAGTAATAATAACTTCTTAACACATCTCACACACGGCCGTCTGATCCTAAACTAAGCAGAGCCTGTGCTATGGTTAACCAGACTGCTGATAAACAAACTTATGTATTTCTAAATACATATGTTATAGATAAATTACACCCAGACACAGAACAAGCGATCATCACACAATGTCCTGGGTGGGAATCGGACCCACGACGTCCTGCTTAGCAGTCAGGGTCACTAACCACTAGACCAAAAGGCCCGTCTGAGTTCTGAGGTAACAGACAACCAAAATACAACCGAATTTTAAACCTCTTTTTTTAAGCAGGTTTAAAAAATATTTAATTCCAGGACCACAGAATTTATGTATATTAACTAAACGGCTATTACCCAACATTCTGTAAATGACTCGGCACACCTACTCTGCATAGAGCGAACGCCCTAAAGCTTGAAGGCGCCAAAACTGTCAAAAAATCCTCGTTC